GTCGATGCCGGCCAGGCACTTCCTTCAGTCATGGAAGAACACAGTCTTATCTCAATCACCCACTTCCATCCTCGTCATCTCCGGTCACTGGGAGACCAAATACCCTACCGTCAGCGTCGTCCAACGCAATCAAACCATCCACGATTTCTATGGTTTCCCCGATCGCATGTACAAGGTTCCTTCCTGCTCCCTTCGTTTTTTCAATTCCAGGTTTATCTCGCTGTTTAACGATTTGTTGTTAACTCAATTGAATCCATACAAGAAATGATGCGTGGAAAAATATGATTCCGATGCGTTTATGTTTCGTTGGTTATATAGTAAATGTATGTATGTATGTATTGAGATCAGTTGCCCACAATAAATGTTTTTGAGGTTCAATTGTTTATAATATGTTGGATCTTGCACGTTGATACAAAAATTTGAGAGGACTTTCTGTTTTCTCTTGAAATTTACCTGATAAGTGTCTGTTTGTTTATCTTTGTGACCAATTGGCTTGTTAATTGAAGCTCAGATCTTGGTTCCAAATGAATAAGAAAAGAGGGTTGAATTTCCAGTTTTTATGCCATTTGGTTTTGTTAGGAGAGACTAAAAAATGACACAAAATTTTTTTATTGTTCTCTACCTATGACCGAATACAGTGCCTATGTAGCCTCAGCAAAGGGAGGGGCAAAAGAACAAATGAATGTTAAGCTAAGAATATATATTGTGGATTCCTGTCTTGCTTAGAAGGATTTGGAATCAAGTAGGATGAAGACCTTTGGTCATTAAAACGCAAGTTGGTCGTGTGTTGAAGCGTGGATAGTCTTCAAAACTCCATCTTGAATCTTTTCTCTCACAAAATGGCAATCAAGTTCAATGTGTTTGGTTTGCCCATGATAGACTGGATTTGCTGTAGTGTGAAATGCAGCCTGATTATCATATTAGAGATTGCAGGCCATTGACTCTCAACTTTCAGATCTTTAAGCAAGTTCATTAACAAGACAATCTCACAAGTTCTATTTTCCATTGTCTGTATTCAACTTCTGTAGAAGAACAACACACTATTTTTTACTTCTTGGACTTCCAGGAGATGAGAGAAGAAGCAAGAAAAATGCAGAAACCCGTGAGGTAATGGCGAGTGTTCGGACAGGTGCCCCAATTCACATCTGAAA